GTTTGGGCTGTGTCTTGATGCAAAGAAGGAAAGTTATATCATATGCATCTCGACAACTTAAATATCATGAAAAACAGTAACCAAATCATGATATGGAATTAGCAATCGTAGTCTTCGGATTGAAAATATGGAGACATTACCTCTTGGGAACCAAATACCAGATTTACACCGATCACAAAAGTTTGCAACACCTGTTCAACCAAAAGGAATTGAATATGAGGCAGCGTCGATGGATCGAACTTGTTAATGACTATGACTGTGAAATACTCTACCATCCGAGAAAAGCAAATGTGGTGGCCGATTTAAGCAGAAAAGAAAGAAGTGGAACCATCAAGTCAGTAGCAATGAGAATAAATCTAACTCTTAATATTCATCAAAGATTTTGAGCCATCAGAAAGAGGCCGTTAAGGAAGAACATGTGAAAACAGAAAAAGTGGGTAAAATGATTTCCATCTTAGAACCGAATATTGAAGGAATCTTATGTTTCCATGGTCGAATATGGGTACCAGTTTACGGAAATACGTAAAAAACCATCCTGAATGAAAGCCACAAGTTCCGTTATTCAACTCATCCAGGTACCAACAAGATGTATAAAGATTTGAAGGTATTTTATTGGTGGTCAGGTCTCAAGAAAGACATAGCAAAATATGTGGAACGATACTTAACTTGCCTGCAAGTTAAAATTGAGCATCAGAGACCCCATGAAAATCTACAATCAGTGGAAATACCGGTCTGGAAATGGGATCACATTACGATGGACTTTATCATGAAGTTACCCCGAACTCCGAAAGGTTATGATGCAATATGGGTAATAGTGGATCGTCTATCAAAATCTGCACATTTTCTACCGATGAAAGAAACCTATTCATTGGAAAGATTGGCTCAAATATACATCAAAGAAATTGTGACCAGACATGGAGCTCCTTTGTCCATCATATCTGATAGAGACAGTTGTTTTACTTCAAAATTCTGGGAAAGTTTGCAAAGAGCCTTGGGATCACATATCAGATTAATTACGGCTTATCATCCACAAACAGACGGGCAGAGTGAAAGAACCATCCAGACTCTCGAAGATATGGTGAGAACTTGGGTCATTGACTTCGGGGGATCATGGGAGGAACACTTGCCATTGATAGAATTTGCATACAATAACAATTATCACTCCAGCATCCAAGCGACACCTTATGAAGTCTTATATGGAAGAAAATGTTGAACGTCGTTGTAATGAGGTGGGCGAAAAACAATTGACAGGTCCCGAGATTGTGCAAGTAACATCTGAAAAGATTGAACAGATTTGGGCGAGAATCAAGACTGCCCAAGATCGACAGAAAAGTTATGCCGACAAACGAAGGAAACCAATTGAATTCAACGTGGAAGACTTTGTGATGATAAAAGTCTCTCCATAGAAGGGTGTTATGAGATTTGGGAAGAAATGAAAACTTAGTCCGAGGTATATTGGACTATTCAGAATCTGCAAAAGGGTTGGACTGGTAGCTTATTAGTTGGAATTACCATAAGAACTTAGTCAGATTCACAATACCTTTCATGTATCGAATCTATGCAAGTGTTTGGCAGACCCAAGTCTAGCAATACCACTTCTTGAGATCAAACTTGACAATAAGTTGAATTTCATCAAGACACCAAAGGCAGTAACTGACAGAAAGACCAGGATATTGAGAAATAAAGAGATCAGCCTAGTAAATGTACAGTGGCGTTTTCATAAGGGTTCAGAAGCAACATGGGAACTGGAATCTGATATGATAACCCGATATCCGTGGTTATTTGAGTGAATTTCGGGACGGAATTCTTTTAAGGGGGGAAAAATGTTATAACCAGGTTTCAAACAACCTGAGTTGAGGTAAATTATATGTGATTATTATTTGAAAAATACATAAATGGCATGCATGGTAATAAATACATAAGTAGCATGCACATATGTGAAAAGATGGCATGAGGTCTATGTGATTTATACATGCATATATGTCATCTTAAGCATGCATGCGGCTACGATTATCTTATTAGAAAAATAAGGTGTAATCTTCATAGTGAAGAAAGGTGATTTTTAGAATAAAATAAGTTCCACCGCCTAAACCATTTTTATAATAAAAAGAAATCCTCCATCGCCTGGTGATGATATTTAAAGAAAGGGATAAGGTTCTAACCTTATCACTTTATGTTGAAAAAAATTTATAGAGAAAAGAGAGAGCTTTGTGGCGGTGAGAAACAATCTTGTAGAAAATTGTTGATTCAAAGTTATTTGAAGATCTTACGTTTTGTTGTGTGATATTATCTGCAGAATCTGTGTTTGATTTAAGGTGAGTTTTAAAATAACTGTTAATAATAAACTGTTTGGTTTTGATGATTGTGGATTTTTTTTTTAGAACAAATTTGGTAAATACTGTTTTCTAAGCAGTTTAAACCAAGTATTTATGATTTTGGATTAAAAACTATTTTGAAAAGATAGAAGCAGAAACGGTTCTTTAAAAACAGTTTTGGGATGATATAAACCTATTTTGAGAACATGATTTACAGAACAGATTGTTCTTGAGGTTTAACAAGGTTTTTTTAATATAAACCTATTTTGAGAACATGATTGGTTAAAAATATGGACGAGATTCACTTTGACGTTGTTCTGTCATTGGATGAAATAGTCTATATATTTTGATTAAAACTATGAACGAGATTCACTCTGACAGAAATGACTGCAGCCTGTCATTGGATGAAATAGTTCATAAGAATTTCAGGGGAAATAAGGGTGGTCGTTGTGTGTGATGGATATAGTTGTTGCTATTAAGAGGAATTTTGGATGTAATGATGGATGAAATAGTTATAACTATTGCTATTATATCTTTTAAGATTACAACAGATTGGAGTTCACACTTCTTGGTGATTAGAGAATTCAGATATGTTGTTCTTATTAGAAATAATAGTATTGATGTTATGGTTACGGGAAAAATATGGCATATGGTCATTGGTTTTGGTTAAAAGTGTTTTGGATCATAATGTTCATTTTATGAGGAATCAGAGGGGCTCTGGTTGTTCCTTGTAAGAAAACAGAGGGGCTCTGGTTGGACCTCAATATAGAACCAGAGGGTTTTGGATGATGGTTTGAAAATTATACAAGTCTTTTACAAAGTCTTAGTTAAACCAGAGGCTCTGTATTCGTAAGAAACGAGCTCTGTGTCAAATTTACATTTTAAAGATATTTCAAAGATATTTATACTTAGAAACTTTTCTTATGAAAACATACCAGAGGGGCTCTGGTTGGCCTATACGGGTTGAATCAGAGGCTCTGGTTGGTCTTGCATGAAGATATAGAAGCTCTGGCTAGTAGAACCAGAGGCTCTGGTCCTACATGATATTTTCAAAATATGATTTCTATCCTTGTAAAATATATGTTAATATCTATGATGTTGATCGATGAACATTTTTGGGAATTTTATTCAAGTAAGAGGTTCTGGTTAGTTTAACCAGAAGCTCTGGTAGAGTTACAAGAGGGGCTCTGGTTCTCTTATGAGTTAAAATATTTTATAAGTGTGGTCTTTGGAACCAAAGGTCCGATGGACTCAAACAGAATATGTTCTAAGTGTGTTCTTTGAAACTAGAGGTCCGATGGACTCAAACAGAATGTGGTTTTATCCTTCATTATATGAAATGGTTTAAATATTTTGGTGATCTTCATCTTGCATTACATAAAAAGGGAACCTCATTAGACATTCATGTCTAACCTTCATTTTGTGTTTTCAAATATGTGTGCAGGTAATGATAATAAAGGAAAGAGCATTCTATGATTATTTCCATATGTGCTTAGATTATGAAGACCATGTCTGAATAAGTTTTTGGAGAATGGATATTATACAAGAGTATGTATTTTGAATTTTTGTATTGTGTATTTTGTATCATAGACTCTTGTATTATGGACCTTTGTGGGCTTGATCATATGTTTTATATGAAATACATGTTATATGCAATGTATGATTTGGGTTGGGGGTGTTACATATATTTTTCTTAATTATATTTTAGATTTTTTATATTTTAAAATGAGATGTTTATCATTTATTTGATTTTGTTTATCCGTAGTTAGTTACACGAATTCAAACATACAACTTTAATAAGTTGTACTTATAAATAATTTACTTGTAATCTTGGATTTTAAGTAATGTGCATTATTAAACAGTACTTCAAATATAAAAAATGGTTTTTAAGAATTTTTATCAAATGCTTTATAATATAGTATAGATATATTAATCTATTTTCAGTCAACTAATTATCTAACATTGTTTTATATAGATATTAAGTGAAAATATCGTTTTTTAGAGCTTTCAATCTTCTAAATTGTTTTGAGGGATTTGAATTTCGTAAAAGGATTTGAAATGGGAGCAATATGGATTTATAACAATTTGGAATATTTGGTAGGTTTGATGTGTAGGATTTGAAATGTAATTGAATCCGTTTTTAATAAATAATTTATAAAAACAAATTATTAGTAATTAAATTACTATTTTATTAATTGATTATTACAAACAAGACAAAGAATTGTGTGAGAAGTAGAGTTAAGATGAGAAACGTGACAATGATCGAAACGTTATTTTTTTCACGGTTATTATTTGGGACCTTCATAGTTACGCAGATGCATCTTTCGTACCCAAAAAAGATTCTACTTAAGAGAGTAAGTTGAGCGGGTGTACAAGACCCGCTCGATGCTTAATAGGTCCACCCTTGACTACTAGAGATGGCCAAATGGGCCCGGCCCGGCCCGGCCCGGGACCGCCGGAGGACCGTGACCGGTTACGCCGGGACCGGTTACGCCGGGACCGGTTACGCCGGGACCGGTTATGGCCAGTTATGAGAATGGTGAGGACCGATTGGGACCGGCCCGGGACCGGGTTTTGGCCATCTCTATTGACTACTATCGAACTTGAACTTTTACCTGTTTATCCAAGTATACCACCCTGAAACCAATTGTGACAAGTTTATAGCTTTGGAGACGGTTATAAAATGAAGTAATTGATGTGAATAATTATAGCCAACCAAAACCCTTGTTTGGAAGAGTTTTCTTAAAGCTTTGATTCACGAGTGAACTACAAAGCTATCAGTTAAACCACAAACTAATGAATGAACTACCAACAAGAATAGATACTTGTGCTACAGATCGACTAGATGCCGAAGAACCATATGCACGCTTACGACAAAATAAGAAAAGAAAAACGTTTGATCAACCTAATTATCTTCATCTTCCAAGCCCGAATAGGACATCCTCGTGTTGATTCTTGATTCATCTCTTCGTTATCATATAAATGTACAACTTTACCATTTAAGATGCCAAAACCGTTCTCGTGTACACATGGGTTAATAGTCTTGGTTACGAACATATGAATAGTCAAGGTCTGAAACAGCTCTCATTTGTGCTCTTTTGTCACCAATAACCAGTATGGGAAACCGATGAGTCCTTGATTTACTCTTTTGGGGAAACGTAAGTATCAGCGATTTCAGTTGCAGGTGAAGTGCAAAACGGAACAACCTGATTAAAGAAATTTAAATGAGATCAAGATTTAACGAACACAGCATAACTGGCAAATAAAGTGTCTCCTCAGGCCACTGTGGATTTTCTTGGCTGTTATCTTAGAGCGCATAAGATTAGTTGAGGACACACAATTCCCCAAGAAAAAACACCATAATTTTTTATACAACAGCTTTTCAAATTACCTGATCATTGCTTGCGTGAGCAGCGATACAAGTTCTCATCCTCTTTCTGCTGTGCGTTCTGTGTATCGATGTGTCTTCAACAAAGTTTTGATCCGTCACCTCTGAATGGTCAAATTTAGGACGAAAATATGAATCAGTTTAAAGGGGCTTTGATACAATCTTTAAAAACTCCTTACTAATTCAAAGATACTTGTGAAAATCTATTAAGCAATAATGGAGGTTTAACTTATACGTAGAAGAGTCATTAATATGGATAGGTAAGACGATAGCATGTCGATAGTCGATTATAGCCATCAAAAAAGATAAATGGATATATACATAAAACATGCTAATTGCTAAACTGTAAGTAGCTCAAAAGTACCTGCTGAATCTTGATGCAACTGAGACTCAGGTACAGGAGATTGCAGTGAAATTGCAGTTGATGATGGTCTTTCTTGGAGGGTAGGGAATGCTACAGCCCCATGCCTGCTTCCATTTGTGAAATGCTGGATCCATGGATTGCCTGGAGAAACATGGGGTTTATCTGCATCTTTCAGCTGTGAATTTTCTCTCCTGAAATTTTTCTTTGACCATCGGCCAGCCTGAAGAACCTTAAACTGACAAATATAAAATTGAATCAAGAAATATTGATAAGACGTATAAATAGGAAAAGGAAGTATACGGTGCCGAATGGATAAGATTTAAAACCTGGCCAGAAGTGTTGCCATTGTTTTTCCAAGATGATATTGCATCCGAGGAGCAGGTTTTTTGTGTGTGACAACTTTGGATATCCAAAGAGTTATATAACTGGTCAACGAACGAGGCTTCTATTGACTTGAGATATAAACTATGTTTCTCGTTGGTCCATTCTGATGAATCTTTTTTCTGGGATCCCTGATACAACAATTATTAATATCTCATATTAGAAAAGAGTACATAAAGATTAAAAAACATGAGAATGGAATTTGAGCAGAGAGTAATCTATATACAAATGCTCATCGATCTGCCTTAATGAGATTATAAGCAACTTGCAAGTGCTGAAGAACATACAACAAAACAGAAGTGCATCAATGTTTACAGAACTAGATGTCAATAGAAAAACACCCCTGAAATTAGCTAAATAACCCCTCAAGAGGCAATAGTAGCCTTTTCAAAAAACAAATCCACTACAGCATGAACCTAAGCTTGCTTCTTTGAGTATTTCATGACAAATGGATAAGAACTAATGAACTATAACAGGTGAAGGATTGACATATTAATCATGGCTCTCCATATATGACTATCAAGAAGACTCATAAGCCTTTTTAAATCGTTAGGCACACAATTGTACAAACATTCAGACTTTTGTTTCAAATCAACACTGATTCTGAACTTCAAGGCCCTTAGACCTTAGTAATGAAGTATGAAATTCAATACGCGTAGATGATATTTAGTGATCCCTTAGACCTTAGTAATGAAGTATGAAATTCAATACGCGTAGATGATATTTAGTGATTCCACTATGCCTTGATCGGAATAATGAGTAATGACCTAGTACTATTCAAACCAAACCAAACTAATCCGGTAAATTTCAGGCAGAGGTAGGGACTGGGGGTATGTGATCTCAATGATTGTAATTGCAAACACCTTTTTAATCCATAAGCAACTACAATACGTGATGACTACTAATCCTCTAAGTCAAAAGTTGGTTGAAGTTTGAAGCCCTAAAGATCTCACCAGCTTTTCCATACATCGATAGAGTCAAAACACTCTGCATAGCAACACAGAGCAGGAAGGAGGATACCAAAAGTAACAGCTAAAACCAGATATCCATTCAGAGCATGAAATTCGAGGTTTGAATATAGAATTGAATTGGAACTCTTTTATTTCGATTAAAAAGAGAGTACGTTCCAGTTCCAGTTCCAGTTCCAGTTCCAGTTCCAGTTCCAGTTCAGTTCCAATTCAAACCATAGCAGCCATAGCATACACACCATATGAGATCTTAATTTACAAAACATAATCATTCCGACAAAAAAATGATAACAAAACAACTACAATAATAGTGATAGAAAACAAAATTTACAACCGATAATTCAAATCAAAAGGGTAAAAAAAAAAAAACCTAAAATTACATCTTTTTTCACAAAGAAAAATACAAAGTAACAGATCTCAAAACTATTGAACACAAATCCAACATCATGTAAAATAAAACACACGATCAAACAAAGAGTAAAAATAGTACCATAATTGAACTCTCCTCCTGCTCCACGAAATCAGTCCGTAACACGTTGTTGCCGGTCATCTCCGACGCCACCAAACACGTTTGCTTCACCATCGCCGGAGAAGAAACTCTATCTTTCATATCAAAAATAAAGATGTTACCAAATCAAGAAAAAGCGAGAGAGAGAGAGAGAGAGAGAGAAATCGCTGTAGATTTGGATATTTTTGTGGTGAGAAAAAAGTGCGTTCAAGAGGGCCTGCGAGGGGGTAGGAATAAAAAGAGCCAGCTGTCAATGCTTTTACACGTGTCATGGTGTGCCCAAGGAGCCACATCATCATTTTGTCCACGTCGGTTTTTAGATATTTTTCCTGCCGTTGATTTTTATTTTTTTGAACCAGATATTTTATGCGATCACAAAATATCACCCGATTCCAGCCAGCTTCTATCCTATTTCCGAAATTACGCTTTTGCCCATAACCTTACGTATTTATCCAAAAATTTAATTTATTTTTTAATTGCGGCAACATTATATCCTTCTATAAACGTTACTTTCTGAGATGGTGCTTTTATGAATTAGAAATTCCATTTTAATATTTGTTTTACTTTAGGAATGTATTAAATTACTTTGCTATAATTGGTTCTTATTTATTAAATTTATGATTAAATTAAAGTTAAGCTTATATTTTAATTATGAAATTATGTTTCAAATGATTATTTAT